CATTGTAGGTGCTTTTGGTGGTAGTCCCTCACATTGAGCATGTCCCGAAGGGAACAATTTTGGAGCTGGAGGCAGCCAGTGAAGGGGAGGCCTCCTCATGAACCTCATCCAACCTATTCCTACCCCTAGTACCAACACAAAAATATGACACCAGCTTTGGAGGCCACTCAGAGGAGGATGAGACCTTCATCTTCTATTTGATAGCCCTCTATGACAAACCTTGTGATGTTGCCATTAGATGATGACATATTAAGAGATATCCAAGACCATCCCCATCAACATACAAGATCTAGCTTCTCCTATTATAGGCATAGTGGTAGTAAGGTCCCGGAGGGAACAATTTTGGAGCTGGAGGCAGCCAATGAAGGGGAGGCCTCCTCATGAACCTCACCCAAGCCCTAGGACCAACACAAAAATATGTGACACCCGCTTTAGAGACAACTCAGTTGAGGATGAGACCTACTTCTCTGTGGTAGGCCCCTATGTGCATCCCCCCCTCCCCATGTGACCATCCTATTCCTCCTTTTTTTTTTTACAGACCTCCGGGTCGGTGTTACATTACCTTTAGAGGTTCATCCCACCATATGGTCCAGGTCCACTGTACAATATTGGGGTGTAAGGGATATCTTGGTTGGGTTGGGGTTGTCCTAACCCATTGAGAAGCCAATCGCATTGTACTGAGGAGGGAGGCTACAGGAGAGTCCACATTCCCAACAGGTCACCAGGAGATCTCACTACTGGAGCTCCAGGACACCAGGAACTGTATGGAGGACCCAGAGGAGTCCAGATTCTGCATTTGTAGCCAATGCCAACTCAGCCCTCCAGACTACACCGATAACTAATATATCACCTTTAAGCGGGTCAGATAGAGCCCACCTCATTTCCTGGCTGAAGGGCGTCCAGCATCATCTAGTACTCTTCTCTCCAGCATGACTGTCCCTGGCCCCGCCTCTTTCATTCATTGGGTTTCAGTTCTGCCTGTCAGGGAGGCTCAGCATCACATGTGGGCATTCCATGCAAATACTGTCTGCCTAGGAACACCCACTCCTCCAGGTTAATACCCACCCATCAGGGCACATTGATATTTGCATAACTCCTCCCTATGCAAATGCTGCCTACCTAGGCCCGCCCACTCCTACAGATTAACGCTAAGCCATCAGGGCACATTATTATTTGCATAACTCCTCCCTATGCAAATGTAGCCTGCCTAGGCACGCCCACTCCTACAGAATAACACCCACCCGTCAGGGCACATTGATAATTCTATAACTCCTCCCTATGCAAATTCAGCCTGCTTAGTTCCGCCCACTCCTCCAGATTAACACATACCCATCAGGGTACGATGATATTTGCACAACTCCTCCCTATGCAAACACAACCTGACTAGGTCCGCCCACTAGTCCAGACTGGCACCCGCGCATCAGGGCTCATTGATGTTTGCATAACTCCACCCTATGCAAATGCAGCCTGCTTAGGTCCGCCCACTCCTCCAGATTAACACCCCACCCGTGAGTACACATTGATATTTCTATAACTCCTCCCTATGCAAATGCAGCCTGCCCGGGTCCACCCACTCCTCCCGATCAACACCCAGCTAGCAGGGTAAGTTGATATTTGCATAACTACTCCCTATGCAAATGCAGCATGCCTAGGTCCACCCACCCATCACATTGATATTTGCATAACTCCTCCCTATGCAAATGTAGCCTGCCTAGGTCCACCTACTCATCCAGATTAACACCCACCTATCAGGGTATGTTGATATTTGCATAACTCCTCCCTATGCAAATGTAGCCTGCCCAGGTCCACCCACTCCTCCCGATCAACAACCAGCTAGCAGGGTAAGTTGATATTTGCATAACTCCTCCCTATGCAAATGCAGCCTGCCCAGGTCCACCCACTCCTCCAGATTAACACCCACCCATCACATTGATATTTGCATAACTCCTCCCTATGCAAATGTATCCTGCCTAGGTCCACCTACTCATCCAGATTAACACCCACATATCAGGGTATGTTGATATTTGCATAACTCCTCCCTATGCAGACTGCCCAGGTCCACCCACTCCTCCAGATTAACACCCACCCATCACATTGATATTTGCATAACTCCTCCCTATGCCAATGTATCCTGCCTAGGTCCACCTACTCATCCAGATTAAACCCACCTATCAGGGCAAGTTATATTTGCATAACTCCTCCCTATGCTAATGCAGAGCTCTTGAGAGGATTACTGGGGCACAGCTACCATGCAGGTAACGCACGTGACCCTACACAATACAATCAGATCGTGGTACAATTTCCATACAATCTCCTTCAAACCTCAACAATCCCATTGAAGGGCAATCCAATCATCAGGCGAGCCGATTGTACAATCAGATAGTAATGTATATGCACAGAACACGCACGGGATCGATCAGAACCGATCAATACATTTCCACTGGGAAATCTCACACCATTAGGTAAGATTTTGCGATTCACAATTCTTATTCAATTCGATTTTCCTCCCCCCATGCGAGCTCTCCTCCTCCTCCTCCCTCACCTCCCTGTGCACATTGTGCATCCGTGCGCCGCCAGTGCACAGCTCCCAGTCCACATGTGTGGGCGGAGCGAGATGCGCAGC